ACTGTCTCCTTCACCCCAATGTCATCTGCCAGTGTGAGACTCCCACTGCCAGAGGAGGAGCTGGAGCTAGAACCAGGGAAGCTGAGCATCTTTGCTCAAGCGATCCAGGACCAGCAGACACACAGACCAAATACAGGTGTTTCCTCAGTCTGACAAAGAATTTTTCAACCCAAAAGCTTGCTAAGATGTATTTCTCTAAGTATGCAGTTGGCCTACTAAAAGACACCAGATTGTCTTACCTGTTGCCATTTAAAGTGGTGAACCGGACTGAGGCTGTTGGGAAGGAGGAGACCTCATTGGGGCACACTACCATGTTGTGTAGAGGCCTCAGCACCAGTGAGGACACACCTTAACACACACACACACAGTCACGCAGTGAGATTTCATATTTCATAGACATCAGGGCTGGAAGGGGCCTCGGAAGATCATCGAGTCCAGCCCCCCGCCCAAAGGGCAGGAAGTCAGCTGGGGTCATAGGATCCCAGCAAGATAAGCATCCAGTTTCATCTTGAAGGTGTTCAATGAAGGCGCTTGAACCACCTCCGGTGGCAGGCTGTTCCACACCTTGGGGGCTCGGACAGGAAAGAAATTCTTCCTTATGTCCAGCCTGAAACGGTCTTGTAGTCATTTATGACCGTTCGACCTAGTCGTCATCCCTTGGGGCGCTCTGGTGAACAAACGTTCCCCCAGATACTGCTGGTCACCCCTGATAAACTTGTAGGTGGCCATCAGATCACCCCTGAGCCTGCGCTTTTCCAGGCTAAAGAGCCCCAGGGCTCTCAGCCGGCCCTCGTAGGGTCTGCTTCCCTGACCTCTGATCATGCGTGTGGCTCTTCTCTGGACTCTCTCAAGCTTCTCCACATCCATTGTGAATTGTGGAGCCCAAAACTGGACACAGTACTCCAGCTGCGGCCTCACTAAGGCCGAGTACAGGGGGAGAATGACGTCTCGGGAATGACGCCCCGAGATCGCACCTTCACACACTCACACACGCGCGCGCACACACACACACACACACACACACACACACAAAAGGTCAGACAGTGAGAGTGCACCTTAACAGACATTTTGGAGAAGAAGCTCCTGCAGGAGAGGAAAGAAGGGCTCTGTCACAGTTTCGCTACCTGAGATGCTGCTGGTGGTACTGTGCTAGTGCTCACTCAGTAAGTTATTTTATACCTGTTACCATTTAAAGTGAGGGACCAGACTGAGGCTGTTGGGGAGGAGGATACCTTATTGGGGCACACTTTAACACAGACACAGTGTCACATGCCTATTTCATGAGCCTGTTAGCAGCCTGAGGTGCAGGCCCCAGAACGCAGAACCCTGCTGCACCTATCTTCTTGAAGGCAGGCAGGCTTCATGGCCTCAGCAGGGGCCACCATCCCTGCAGTTTTCACCACCCCCCATGCCTTAACACACACAGAGTGTCATCCATGTCATGAGTTTTGCTTATCAGCAGCTTGAGGTGCAGTTTCCCAGAACCCCCTGCACCTATGTCCTTGAAACTTGGCAGGCTTTGTGGCCTCAGTACGGGCTACCATCCCTGCAGTTTTTACCCCACTGTGGCGTAACACATATACGTGACATGAGTTTTGCTTTCAATACTTTCCCAGAAATTGCAATACTTTCCTGGACCTATCTCCTTGAAACATGGCAGACTTCATGCTCTCAGAAGGGGCTACCATCCCTGCAAGTTTCATCCAAATCAGACAAAAAATGACCAAGTTATAGGTATTTAATTGATTCCCCATTATACTCTATGGCTGAATCTCCAAATCTCTATGAACTGGTGCCGAATCTTCCAAAGCCAATTCAGCCTAATTGATTCAGAACAGTGATCTGAAACTCCAAATTGAATTGCTGGCCTCTAAATCTGTCAAATCTGAATCTGAATTGAATAGTTCCCTATTTTCACAAGCCTGCTGCTCAGGTCTTGGCCCCTCTAAGAACTGGGAGCCAATCAGCATTGGGACAGGGCTGCTCTCTGCCCACCCCGTCCTGGCAGTGCATGGCTCTTGGCTCCCCATTAGAGCTGAGAAGTAGGGCTGCCCAAAGTTTTAGATCATGATTTAGATTTGGAGATGATTCAGAGGCTGAATCTGTGAATCTGAATTGAATTGGTAGAAGCTTTAGGATTTCTGAATCAATTTGGAGCTTTTGAATCAATTCAGAAAAGATTCTGTGATTCAGAGATTCGTCCATAGGGTACAATGGGGAATCAATGAAATATCTATAACTTTGTTGTGTTTTGGCTGATTTGAGTGAAACTTGCAGTAGTGGTAGCCCCTCCTTAGGGCATAAAGTGTGCCAAGTTTCAAGGTCATAGTGCAAGGGTTTCTGGGAAACTGCACCTGAAATTCCTGAGAGCAAAGTTCATTTTATGTATGTGTATTATGCTACAGTGGGGTGAAAATGGCAGGAGTGGTAGCTCTTGCTGAGGCATATCAGGGGGTGCATATGCACCCCTGTGCATCTCCTATGTGTCACCACTGAGAGAGAGGTTGCTTTTCTCTGTGGGGTGGGGTGTGTTGGGACCCAGAGGCCTTCAGGCCTGGGTTTTGAACTTTGTGCTGTGTGCTGAACTTGAATTGTGGTCAAGACTTGCACCAGTGAACAGGAGCATATGGAAAAACACTGTCCCTGACTGAAAATGAATCAGGAAGTTGGCTAACTAGGTTGAATAAATATAGCCTGGGCAAGAGGAACAGTCAGAGAAAAACCTACCCCCACCTAAGAATGGAAAGATTCTCTCACAATAGAAAATTCCAGTTAATGATAATCATATTTGGCAAAGTGCCATATGGTGGACGCTGCCAATGAACCCTAGGAAAGGTAGTCCCATCAAAGCTGGGCTACCAGTGGCACAATGCAGATAGGCACATGCTGCACCACAAGGGTCCTCTTGGTGTCTGCGGCACCTCAGAGGCCTCCATCCAGATGGAACCCCTGGTTCTGGGCTCCACAATGATGGAGCCTCTGTCTCTCAGCTGCGGAGGCTGCCTGGCATGTTTCCAGGCACATGGCACAAGGAGCATGGCCACCTCCCCTTGATAGGTTTGCTCCACTTTGGAGTCTCTGGGGCACCAGATAGAGGAGCTCCAGGCCACAGTCCAGAGACTGAGTGCCATCAGGGAAGGTGAGCATGAGATAGACTCCTAGTGTCAGGCCCTTCACCCCCCGCATGCGGAGGGTAGACCAAGGTCACCATCCAGGACAAGGGAGGACTCAGGGATCTCCCATATTGTCCAGCTAGGGGGTTGGACCAAGGTGGTCAATAGCCCCAAGGCCCACTGCACCAAGGTCCCCTCCAATCTGGAGCTTTGCAACAGGTAAAAAACTCTTGCAGCCCTGGTACAGCCTGCAGAGCTGCCAGCTCCTGCAGGCAAGGGAGAATCACCCACAGCTACTGTCCCTGCTCTCCCTAAGGTCACTTATAGAGTGGTCATCGTGGGAGACTCCCTCCTCAGGGGGACTGAGGGCAAAATCTGCAGCCCTGACCCCTTAGCTGGGGAGGTCTGATGCTTTCTGGGAGCCCATATCCAGGACATGGCCGAGAGGATCCCAAAACTCATCTGGCCCACTGACCACTACCCTATGCTCCTTATCCATGTGGGCATGAATAACATGGCTCGCAGCAATCCCAGCTGTAACCTGGTCATAAAAGAGACTAGATTAGGCAGGCACAATCTGCCTGCTACGAACCCGTGCTGGTTTCCCCTCAGCATCATTTGTCCTGCCGGGCTCTCACAAATGTGAGCCTTGATAATTTTTGCAAAGACTTTGCCAAGGATGGAGGTGAGACTGACTGGCCTATAGTTGCCCGGGTCCTCCTTCCTCCCCTTCTTGAAAATGGGGACCACGTTGGCCCTTTTCCAGTCCTCCGGGACTTGGCCCGTGTGCCACGAGCGTTCAAATATTCCCGCCAGTGGCTCTGCAATGATGTCGGCCAGTGCCTTCAGCACCCTCGGATGGAGCTCATCCGGGCCTGCCGACTTAAAGGCATCCAGTTCTTCCAAGTGACTCTGCACCATCTCAGGGTCTACGCATGGTACGTTACAGTGTACATCAGGATCTGGGGGAATGCCTGTTCATCAGAGCACCCCAAAGGATGACAAAGTCAAATGGTCACAAACTCTTCCAAGACCATTTCAGGCTGGACATAAGGAAGAACTTCTTTACTGTCCAAGCCCACAAGGCCTGGAACAGAATGCCATCATAGGTGGTGCAAACACCTTCTCTGGACTCCTTTAAGAGATGTTTGGATGTTTATCATGCTGGGATCCTTTTACCCCAGCTGACTTCCTGCCCCTGGGGCAGGAGGCTGGTCTTGATGATCTTCCGAGGTCCCTTCCAGCCCTAATGTCTATGAAATCTATGAATTAACAGCCTTTTAGAGAAGCTGGCCACTGTAGTCCCCCTGGTTTACCTGTGCCAGGTTAGCACAGGTTATGTCTTGTGTCAGGGTTGATAGTAGTTGTACAAAGAGTTTAGATTATGCATCATAGAGGATGGTTTGGACAGGGCTGATCCTGCCTCAGTCAGGGAGTTGGATGAGATGATCCCTGGAGCTGCTTACCAACCTCCCTTCTCTATGGATCTATAATTCTATGAAAATGTAGATGAGATTTTGTCACGTTGAGCCACTGAGAGGACATTCCTCAAGCTGGTAGGTGGATAGTCCTAAATGTGTAACCACATGAAGGGTGTTGCATGGACAGGGCCTCAAACTCTTGTGAGATGAGTGTTTTCAGTCCAGGTGGGAGGGGTCCCAGTGGGAGGTACTTCAACATTTTCACCTTTTGTTTTTTACTTCTTTATAATTAAAGTCTATACAAGTAAAAAATAAATAAAGTCTCTCTGTCTCCTTCATGCAGTTATGTTGGTCCAAGCAGATAAAGGTAATACCCCCTATGTGTCCAGTGCATGCCTTCCCTAAGCACTCTTTAAGCATCTCCACACCTCAGGTTTAGCTCTAACCAGCTGCTCTTGTCTCAAAGGTGACATCACACAAAAGGGATGAAGAAGACACCTGCTTCTGGTAGAAGGCTTCAGCAGCGAGTACATTGGCAGAATGACAGTAGATGATGGCACAGAAACATGAACATGATCTGAGACAGACTGAAACATACCTGGAATGGGAGCATCACTGTGGCACTCATACAACATCCCCAGCCAGAAAGGGCATCAGAAGTCAAGTGTCTCAATGGTACATGTGCCAGCATAAACCATGGTGGTAGCAGAGACTGTTTCTAGCCTAAAACACATGAGGACCAGGGCAGAAAACAGAAGGTCTGTCCCCACTGCAGCAACTAACCGTAATTGTACTGGAGGCAGAAACTCCACAGCCTGGCAGTGGGAAGGTGACTTATGTTTTCACCTGGGAGAGGGCTCAGGCAGTAGGAGAGGACTTTCAGCTTTGCTGATGATAGGTGCCGAGAGGCTATGGTTAGATGCTGAATTTAGAAATGCCCAACCCAGTGCATGTTGGTGTAACATGAGGATTGTGCTCGGAGAAGTCCTCTCTCTCCTGTCCACATTAAACAGCACCCAAGGGGAGCAGCAGGCAGCTGCCTTGAGCATCGTGTCATGATGTGCAGAGCATCCCAGGAATTGTCTTGCTCTAGAGCAGTTGTTAAGCCTACTGCTGCTGGGGAAGCTTTCATCCATTTTTTGCCATGAAAGCTCGTGTCAGGAGGGTAAAAGTTGGCCAATTTCAGTGACCAAAAAAATGGGGTCAATCCTTCCCCCAGCAGCAGCAAACTCCTCTGTTGGTGTGTAGAGCTATGATTTACAGAATGCCCTGTGCTCCCTGACACATTGCTCGCACTGCTGCAACACGCCGGCAGTAAGTAGAAGCAAACGGAATGGGAGAGAGAAGTGCCCCCCTCCTTTCTGGCTCCCCTTACCTGTGCTATAGGAGAGGGCAGATGAGAGCAGCAGAGGCCAACCTTTTTGGCAAGAGTCTCACAAATTAAACCCTGTGCCCTCCCTAAGTGTCTAAAGGATCCCCTTCCCTTGCCTGACCTGCTTCTCTGTGGCCTGCTGTAGCAAAACCTCCACATTTTCTTTTTTTGTTTTTCTTTTAAAGTGCATTCCCTCCCCTTCCCCAACCATTTCTGACTTTGTATCTTCGTCTCTATTCCCTATAGATAAGTGTAAGTAAGCTAAGATGTAGGATAAGCTTTAACATTTTATTTTAGATAGTAAGTTTTATTTCTCTCCCCTCTGCAAATAAGTGCCCTGCTATTTTGATATAGATATCCACTGTTTTATAAGTGATAATTATTATGTTTGTATTGATTTCCGCCC